ACTCTATCTCTATGGGAGCCCAGATACCCTGTGGAGAAGGCTAATTTTGACCTCCTATATCTGCAATGTCATATTTGTGSTCACTATGAAGAGCTCATGTATAAGGGTAGGAATGTAGACCAACCAGTAAACAGCAAGCTTCACCAGAATAGATCAGCTCTTTTCACAACAAGCCAGTGCAGACCATGCAATATTGTAGAAGCTCCACCATTCTGCTTGTTGAGCCTGGAGATCATGGCACAATAGCTGTTTCCATCAACATTTTATAATGCGCATTTTGAAGTATCGCATTAGAAAAGGTGAATGGAAACAGGAAAGTTTGAAAAAAAACTTGCCTGAGGTGGTTTTGGGGTTTTTCAAAAAAGAGTTAATGCACAAAAGGGGAGATGGAAACACATTGGGGCAGAGTGGTTAGGGGAGTTGTCCTGGAACCGGAAGGTTGCTGGTTTGATCCACCGTCCAGATGTTGCAGTTGTTGTGTCCTTGGGCACAACAACTTCACCCCAATGCCTCTGATGTATGTATATTTATATATAGCTCTGTAGAAACCTAATAGAGTGCTGTGTGAATGSRTAAATGAGGGCACAGATTGTAGTGTGAAGAGTTTTGAGTGTCCTGGATGGATAGAAAAGCGCTTTATAAGTACAGTCCATTTGTCAAATAAGTTCTGACGTAGCAAACATTTACCTCACATGATTGATCAGCTGTTCCTGCTGTCTGTCTGGTACCAGCTGCAGCTGCAGTCGCGATGCTGTCGGCATCTTCCTGAATATTCCCRTCACTTGAAGAGAATTGCATTTCTTTTTCTACGTCTCCAGACAGCATGTAACATCACCAAAACTAGTTGACATGACCGAATAATTACAGCTTTCCTGATAGTAGCAACAAGTTTCTGATAACTTCTCTCCATTGTCCTGAGATGTGTCCCTGCGAGTTTGCAACTTCTACTTCCTGTTTACTATAGCCATGYGTAACGGCAATGTCTGACATAATTACACTTTGCGTAGCCTGGTTGATTTGCTTCAATCAGTTGATGGAAACATGTCAGATTCTTCTTTTTTCCCCTTTTTGCAACATTTTAAAAATTTGCTCAAATTTTGAATTAAAATTGGATGGAAACACAGTTAATGAGACTAAAAGGACCACATCCTCTGCAAACAGCAGAGACAGAATCCTGAGGTCACCGAACTCAACCCCTTCAACCCCCAGCCTGCAGGGAGAAGTTATGTCCATGAAAATTATGATCAGATTGACAACAGGCAGCTTACAGAGTCTGACTCTCTCCCTGAAAGGGTTTGACTTACTGCCAGCAACGTGAACCCTGTTCTCTCACCATTTGTAATAGGCCTAACTGCCCATGGAAATGAACCCCCAATCCCACAGATCTCCCCTCACTGCGTACCTCAAAGATTACAGTAAAATGCCTTCTCCAAGTCTAACACACAGAAACTGGATGTGCAAACTCCCATGCCCCTTTTAGGACCTTATCAAGGGTAAAGG